TCTATATCAGCGGTCCCCAACCTTTTTTGTGCCACGGACCGGTTTATGCCCGACAATATTTTCACAGACCGGCCTTTAAGGTTTCACGGATAAATATAACAAAATAAAACTAGTACCGGTACCGAAAAAAAGAAGATTTATTCATAACACACGAGAAAAGACCCAGGAAAACAGAGTTAACGATAAAAACGATAACAAAATAACACTGAAAACCGATAAAAACCCTGAAAACCATACATATCACACCTGAGCCTCAACTCTCGCGGCCCAGTACCAAACGACTCACGGACCGGTACCGGTCCGAGGCCGGGGGTTGGGGACCACTGGTCTATATAGCATTATTTATCACTTTGATCTTCAGATCACAATCTACTGACCTTGAAGGAGAGGTTAGAGGTCAACTGTAACATGATATTTTAAATCTTTGCATGGTACTTTCTATATGCTGCCAATACACACTGCACTTGTAAGAAGCATAGTTTCTTTTTGTCAAGTTGACCTTTTGGTGTATGTAAGCCAACTTTCAGTAGATGGTTAACATCACTCCACTCTACACTGTTAAAAAGTTTTACAATAGTTCCTTTAACACTTTTCGACCTATTGTGTTTACAGACAGAATGACACAGACATAAATGCTACCAAAAACATAACTTCCTTGGCAGAGGTAATAATAATAATAATAATAATATTAACTGAAATGTTCACAGATGGCGCAAACATAAATTATTGGCACTGAGCAGGCAGAGGTTTGATGTTTTACTCCCGTACTCACTCGAATGATGTTGGCACTCTGGGTTTTCCTAGCTCATCACCTGAAGCAAGAGAAAAACAAACAGAAAAGTCAGGCCCGCAGTTCTTAACAGAGTGGTGACAGCAAATACACAATCACAGCAAGTTACTCAAAATCAAATTTAAAAAAAGATATTTGATAATTAAACCTTAAACCAGATTTTTTCCCCATTAAAAAAAATTAAACCACCACCTACAGTACCACTGAAAATATATATATTTGCAGTAAGGTTAGAGACAAGTGTTTAATTTTCTTATTTCTGCTTTGTAAAATGTTTTTTTGAACTTTCATCCAAATACTGCAAAAGAGTTAACACAGGAGGTTATGCTGTATGTTCAATATGGTGGTACCACTTTAAAACAAGGGACGAAGCAACTAATCAGGAAATGCCCTGTTCTTTTGTTCCCCTGCTTTAAAGCGCTGCCTTACATTGAAAAGATCCATATAAGCAACCTGAAGCAGCACTTCAAGCACTAGAAGTAAAAAGGTACTACTGAGAGGACCCAGATTTAAAACCACACGTGTATGTAAGTCCTTCAAATTTAGAAACTGAAAGTTTTCAGTGAGTCAGTGATGTTAGCTGGGGGGTCAGCTGGCTTCAGAAGCTGTATGAAAGGCTCCCAGGAAGGGACAGCGATGAGGGCTGTGGAAGACATTTTAAAAGTGGAGGGGAAGGAAGGGTTGCAGGCCAACTACTGTAGTGAAAAAATACTCACCGAAACCCTTAGTCTTAGACCTTACTGTAGACACTCCTGTGATCCCTGAGCGCATGTAAAGTATACATCTATCAATGCTACTCATTTTTGCAAATTGATGTAAATGCTATCAGTGTGTGGGTTGCAGAAAGCGAATGGGATTATCATTAAGTCTCATACAAACACTGACCAGAAAAACAAAGTAATAAAAAGAAAAACAAGATAAAAAGAAGATAAAAAAAACCTTTCTGGGTGAATAATCAGTGCTTTTACGCTTCTTTTATCAAAGACCTCGTGGAGTACAACAAACACGTTTTCATAAGCTCTTGGGGACATACACAAATTCAGCAAAACTCCCACAACTGTGCCAGCTTGCAGAAGGGAAAAGATAATTTCTGACATGTCCAAACATAAACAGTCAATTAAGCAATTAATCTTATTTGTACCATTGGAGGGAAATATCCCCCGAGCTCAGATTTATAGAAGGGAACAGTTATTTACTTTTTCTCGGGACGTGTTGGTTTTGGCTAGATTTCTGGATTTTCCCTCTTAAAGACAACCCCTTTAAAAACAACCCGGGCCAGGAAAAACGTGGTCGAGGAGTTGTGCAGTCGAGCCCCCCTCCACTTCATCCTTCACAGTCATGTAGCAACACAGATAAAGAAAAGGTCAGGAAGAAAAAAAATACTCACTGGACTGGTTCCTCCGCATCTGTCCCTGAAAGCAAAAACAGACAATGATTAATCAAAGATGCATATATCCCAAAGCCAATTACTAACCGATACATGTCAGAACTTTGTTTACTTGTTAACAAAAGGACAAAAAGGACAAGAAAGAGGTGTTCACGCTCTTCAAACTGGACTTCACGAAGGGAGAATGGATCTACAAAGTGCAATGCGGTGCTGAATGGATCCCTAACTTTCTCTGGGGATTAAAAAAAAAAAGCAAATACCTATTAAAATACGTGTTAACACTGGTTAAAATTGTATTATTAATTATTCCCACTGGCAAAGGGAATTTTTTCCACTTAGAGTTCAAGACAGTAAATCACAGGACTACTCTCGACTCACACATACCAGACATTAAACCTAGGGTGAAAAATTCAGCAGCGCAAAACCGTGTACGTAATCCCATATAACGATCAGTCAGAGACAGCACAGAGCGTGCCTCAAACTCTTCACCAGCTTCCTTTACAGATTCTTTTTTTTTCTCCTTTTCCTGCGACATAAATCTTCCCAGGTCCAACTGCGTTAACACAACCTATGTGAGATGCACTCTTCAGGTCCAACACTTTCGCCGAAGAATTTATTTCTTACAAGAATAAAGGTCAGGTTGGAGACGGGGGAGACAAAAAAAAGAAACAAAATGGGTTTAAGGAACATAGCAAAAGCATTTAACCACCGTTGAGCTGCGAGGCCAGGGTTTAGTCCCACAGGCGCTAAGCGGCAAATGGGTTCAATTATGGCTATTGCTGGCCACACACACACACACACACACACACACACACACACACACGACTTCCATTGCTATTTCAATAAAGGGAACACCGTGGAGGGGAAACGAAACAGGAGGAGAAATGAAAAAAAAAAAAAAGACAGAAAAATGAGCACTGATGGGGGAAAAAAATCTATCAATAATTCACACCAGATGATGCAATGTTTGTCATCATCTTGGATGGAGTATATGTTTTCAGCTTTGTGTAAATATAAAATAGGCAGAGGGAGCAGAAAATAAACAAAATGAGGGCATATACAATGTAAAGACTACGCTGGTATTTCAATTCAAATCAGTAGTGACAGAGATGAGAACTTAATGGTGGGTTCAACTACAAATCGGTGACAGACAAGGTTTAAGGTTAAAACTCCCAATCAAAATTATTTATTTTTTTGCACTTAATAGAAAAAACATCTCTGTAAGCTTGAAAGTTATCTTTATAATTAATGTCGGTGGGGGAAAAAAAAAGGAAACATTTGTCAAAACTACGTAACGAACCCCATAAAGTATTCATAAATAACCACAACAGAGTCCTGTCTAGAATAAATGGGCTTCAATAAAACCCAAAGAGTAAAACCAAAGAAAGAAACGAGAGGGGGGAAAAACAGAGTGAGATACGACGCAAATGGCGAGGAGGAAAAGCAATGAGAGCCGAGGCTGAGAGAGACGGCCAAAGTTGGGAAAGAGGATGCCGTGACAATCGGTTAATGGTGCAGCCAGGGAGCGAGGCGGGTGAAACCCACTAGACCCCCTTAGCAACACTGAGCGCGCCCCTCTCGGCCGCTCCACAACACCATTAACAACAACAGCTCAGTGCACACAGGCTGTGCGTTTGCACACAGGCCATAGTGGTTTTAAAGTTTAACGACAGTGGCTATTTTCATGGAGCGCCAGAGAGTGATTCAGAGACTGAGAGATGATGAGGGACAAGGAGTTGAATGGAGAGCTCCATGACTGAGGTCACAGATCGTGTGTGTGTGCAGACTGCAGAGCATTGCTGTAAAACATTCCCTAAAGAGCTGAGAGTGTGTGTGTGCGCGTGCGAGAGTAAAAAACAGCAACATCACACACTTAACTCAAAAATTGTTTCTGAGTTCTTAATATTTGGAAAAAGAAGATGAAAGAATAAGTGATCCTAATGTTGCTTGATATTAATCTAAATTCTAAGAAAAAAAGAAAAAATTGCACAAACATGAACCTCAATGAATAAGAAAACAATATAGCATGTAAAATAAACATAAAGATTTTCAATGTAAAAAATAATAGCTTCAAGAAAGAGTAACCAATCGGAAACACCTTTGATAAATGGCAGTTTAATCTGCCCTACGAGAGGACGTTTTTACATTCTCGTGATGCCCTCTAGTGTTACACAAGCAGAGTAGCCTCCTTCTGCAGCAGGGCAAGGTAGCAACAAGTTTATCTTTGAGGATTTTACTATTTGGTGTTCTGTAACTGGAAGGTCGCCAGTTCGATCCCCAGGCTCTCTGTCCTGGTCGTTGTGTCGTTGGGCAAGACACTTTACCCTACTGCCTACTGGTGTTGGCCAGAGGGGCCGATGGCGCGATATGGCAGCCTCGCTTCTGTCAGTCTGCCCCAGGGCAGCTGTGGCTACAACTGTAGCTGCCTCCACCAGTGTGTGAATGCGAGAGTGAATGAATAATGGCATTGTAAAGCGCTTTGGGTGTCTTGAAAAGCGCTATATAAATCCATTCCATTATTATTATTATTATTATCGTCAGAGTGTCACGAGCCGTACCGAGGTTGAAGGCGACAGGATGATGTTTCCAATGGAGGCCTTGAGCTCATCAATGTTGGCTTGGTTCTGATGAACGCCATTGTTTGGCTGAACGGGCTTGATCTGCACGTGGAACTTCCTGGGTTCGTCTTCGTCCTCCGAGTCGCTGGACGAGTAGAAGGAATTCTCTTTGGCATGTGAGCAGAGAAGTTAAGGAGGATAATGGCAACGACCTCAGATCAGAAACATGGGCATAAATCTGAGTTTCATTTAGTCTTGTTTAAAAAAAACCCCAACAACTCCAACGTGTCTAACAAGCGAGAGACAAACAAAAAAGGATATCGTTTTCATTAACTTCTGGTCTGATGCAGAAACCCTCTTCATCAACTTGAGGAACATTCTGCAAAAACACAAGCAGGATACAATTTTTCTTTCTTCCACAATTTGTTTTGAGTTAACACAAAGTTAATTTTACAGGATGCTGCTCATTTCAAACTAGATAAAAATAACTTTATTTTTCGAATAGTAATTCATTGTCAATGTGTTCAGAAAATTGCTAAAACTTCATGTTAAATTGTAAATGATACATTTTAAAAAGAAGGTTGATTAATATCTAACTTCAAAAGGCAAAAAATTCCAATTAAGTCTAAAATGGTGTTTTTGCTTAGATATAAAATTGTTGTAAATGAATGGGTACAATCATTCATGGTGTTTGTTGAGGCTTTAAATAATAAAAAATATACTACAAATGAAAATCGGTACACATATTTATAGATACATAAAACAACCTAAAACAAATAAAGACCGGGCGAAAGGGGTGATATTATGGTGATTTCTCACTATCTCATCCTACACAACCAAATTTGAGAGCACTGTAAATTCAGCGGAATCACACAATACCTTGTACCATTAGGGACAAGTTTTATAGGATATTAAGATTTTTAATGAAATGCATTATCTATGTCGGTATGAATATTTGCTGCGCATGTGTTAGAAAGAGACACCATGTGTAAGAGTGAGGTTAATAGCTTGCTTACAGCATTCTGGATGTCTGCAAAGTATCCAGGCGGCGCACCATTGGCGGTGTTCTACAAGCACAGAGAGGGATGAATACATGAATACGTGAACAAGCACATCCACAAAAAAAAGAAACGAACGGGAACAGAGAGATGGAGAAAGTGACCGGAAAATCATTAAAACAGAACATGTTTTCCACCTCCTGCTGTCTGAAATCAAGATAACACAACAGGGTGAAACTCAAAGATTATAGTCGCGGTCTGCGTCGGTGAAAGTTATACTCACAGCAGCCTCGACTTCTGTCGACTCCCTGGAAGACACAAATGGTCACGTGATCATGACTAAGAAGTGAAGATGAGTGAAGATGCATAAATTGTGCTGTGGACTGGAAATACGAGTCTCTACTCACGTAGAGTCTGTGTCCTTGTCTTTCCTCCGACCTGGGATCAATAGTTTTCTTCTTCTGGGTTTGGCTCCTTAATATATATTAAAAAAATGAAGAGCTTTAACCACAGATTTTTTTAAAAAGCATCAGTTTTCAGACATATTTAATATTTGTGTCCCTCAAATGTGTTTCTTCTTTTACAAAAAGGCTTACCTTCAGCAGCAATAGCTACATTGCACTCCTCAAACTCAATGGGTCCTAATGAGACCAAAAAATAAATAAATCATTTAGGTTCATTTGACATACAAAGGGTCAATGACCCACTGCTGTGAACGTTGTGAATGTGAATCACGCAATGATCACACAGACACACACACACACACACACACACACACACACACGCAGTCTGCCGTGCAATGCAGCGAGTGTATACAAACAAAGCTAGGCTGCTCCCAGAGGGCAGACAGGGTCAATAGCAGAGTCAACTGTGTGTCTGGTGGCCCTTACAGAGATGGCACAATCCCTCCTGGTTGACACGAAGCCCCAATCTACACCGTCACATAATCTTCCTCACAGAGAGACGCTTCTAAGCACAAAACCTCACCGCAACCATGAACCAATTCCAAATCCTTGCAGGAGCTCGGGTATTTTCAGCAAGCGGCAGGTGTGAAGGCTAAACTGCGGTGAAACTAAACCCGGCCGCGTGACATACGCACAACTAAACCCTACTACGGAAAAGACAAGCGAGTGCAAGATTACATGCGCTGAAGTGTTTAAAGACACTCAGACAAATCTGCTCTTGAGCTTTAAGTAACGCCCTTTTCTCCTTCACTCCCACATGTAGAAAACGGCGAGAGAAAGAACAAACCATAAACAAACAAACATGATCGACTGAAATCGCTGCAACATCCTTGGCTAACAAGCAAATCCTTAAATCGGTTCCAGCAATTGATCAGTGCATCATTTGGAGTGAAACCAGATATGCTTTTATATGGACAAAAACAACAGCAACAAAAAACAAAATAGTTTTTGGCTATTTGGACACATCATTTAAATGATGAGAAAACAAAAAACAACAATGTTTACGCCTAATTAACTCCTCTTCAATTATGCATATTTGCCTCTAAGGCCCTGCACTTTGATTGTCACGCTGAGTAGGCACTCACACAAATGAGAAATAAGGCATGCAATGCGTGCACGTGTCAATCAGCCAAATCCACTAGATCAGGCGGTGTGTGCCTCTGTATTCGTGTGTAGTTACAATCCATTTAAAAGACTCACACCTTCTTAGGTACACAATTAAACAAACAGTGGTTAATTAATGATTTTAAATGGCAATGTGACTATGACTATTAGCTCTTAAAATGTGTGACATGAAAGAAATGGGTGATATACTGCACATACCTAGAAAGCTTAAGAGTGTACACAAGATTAACAGGAGGCACAGAAAGATATACAGAGAAAGAAAGACGGGGCAGGACCCTCCGGCGAAATCTGCAATACACTAACAGGACCTGACCTGAAAACAACAAAGCTAATGATATTTTAACTCAAAATATACACAGCAGCAGTCCAATGCAGTCCCCTGCCCCCCACCACCACCAAGAAGAGGCCAGTCGCGAGCAGAATCGACGCATTGTTCTGAGTGTGCGATGCCGACTGAAGCGCAGGGAAGCGGCGAGTCACGAGAGGCATGCGAGCAAGTGGAGTGGATAAAGCACACCGATGACCGGTCTACTCTACTGTGCAATATCGGCACTGCTGGCAAACACACAGCGGCAGCACGGAGGGCTGTTGTGGGTTTTGAGTGAGTGAGAGCTTCGTGCCAATCAAAGCAGCCCTGGCGTGCTCATTCAAGAAGACTCACAGAAGGAGGCGAGAGATAATTTCATCATCCCTGTTCAATCAGCTTTAAGAACAAGTGAATATATATGTCGAGTGTTGCTTTTTTGGGTGTTTTTTATAAGGAGAAGAAGAAGAAACACATCATTAACTTATGACATCAGTGTTTATTTACCCATCAGTGGTAAAAATAGTCAAACAAAAGTAGTGGACGGGGTTGAAAGATTACTCAGTGCCATCGGGATGTTTAAAAAAAAAAAGGCTGTAGGAATCTGCATGAGACCCAGGCGGAGCAGGAATTCTTTGCCACCGGCATCCTGCGATCCCATCTGACAATATTTATCCACACAAACAGCCGAAAATGTCTAAACACCAGACGCATGAATATTACCTAAATCTGGACAGACATTAGGAACTGTTTAAGCATCTCCTAAACAGACAGACGACTTTGTTTATACAGGGGAAGATGTTTCTTTTCTTTCTACTCTCTGTGAGGGAAGCATGCAGTCACGCATGAGAGGAAGATGGATTTTTTTTTTTTAAATTGCATATGCTTCACATGGCAACTGGGAGCCAGAGAGAGGGGTGGAGTGGTTTGCGTGTCTGGCCAGCCGCCAGTTGACAGCTCAGCTGGATATCGTTGAACACGCCGACCCCCCCTGCCTCGCAGCGTGTCACTTTGGGATTGTTTCCGCAATAGAAAGTTTATTCAACCTCTCTCTCTCTCTCTAAAGGCTCCAGACCGGCCATCCGTTCAGCTATTTCATCACGGGGACTGACGGGTTATTTTTCTGACAGGGCCAGGGCTGGTGAGCAATTCCTAATGAACGCGTTTGATACGGGGAAGGAATTTTCTGACCGTTTTTTTAAGCGTCAATTAATACTGCTGTCCAAACAAATGAAGGCCACCACTTCTTAGATGCAGCGTCTGGACACAGGGGGTCACCGTTTGTGTACACACAAACACAGCAGAGGTGACCCCTCTGCGCCCGTGACCTGACGTGATGTAGTACAAGTGCACAAGGGCAGCTTGTAATATTTCAGACTGGGTTTTGAGCTATGTTGCATGATGAGACTACAGAGGCTAATGCCAGAAAAAAAACAATACGTCAGAGACGCTGTAAAAGAAGGAAAATATCAACCAAGGAGATAAGGGAATGAGTGCGTGTGCGTGAATGAGAGGGAGGTAAGGGAGTGGAGCCAAAAGAGTCTGTGGAGTTTTCCCTTGATTATTGTGGCATGGCAAAGTTTACACAAGAGTTATTGTTGAGCCCTGACCTCCTGAAGAAGTTGGTTATGCCTGCTTAGCCTGTGAACACAGCAAAGCCCCCCGTGTGTCACATGCTTACTGGAATGCCAAGCCTGCCTACCTTTACAGCAGATTACTGTGATTGACTCTGATGGCCCTCTCTCCTACCACTAATTGCCCCTCTCTATATACCCCTCCCCTCTCCACAAGCCTGGGTCAGAAAGAAGCCCCCCATACCCCTGGCAACAATTTCTTAACACACAGTACAGACACTGACAAATATTAATTAATAAAACATACAGGACCCCGGCGGCTTACCTGGTCTCTCTTTGCCCGTTCCTTTGCTTTCAGCCAGTTTCTGGATTAAGCTCTCAACTGATGTGTTCTCGATGTTCCTCACAAATTCATGGTGGACCTGGAAAGGTTCAAAAAGAAATCAGATTTACCCATGATCTTAAAATGTATAGTCTTCTTTAAATGAGGTTGTGGTGATTTTTAACTGATGTAGTGCTAGAGCGAGTTGGTCAACTAATGGTAGAGTTTGTTTGTTACTTGTATTATTCAGTGCAACAAATTTTTAAAAGAGGTCACTTGGGACCACTTGCCAGGTAACATTTCTCTTAAAGTGTGATAAGAAGATGATGTGCATATTTTTTTTTTTTTTTTTTGGAAAATATTTTTATTGAAAAAAGAAAACAACTGTACTTGCAGTTACCGAAATACAATCAACCTTTCTTCATTTTTCTAAGTAAATAAACTTATATATATATATATGAAAAAAACAATGCATTCTAAAAGAAAGACACCCCCCCCCGTCCCACACAGATCAACACAACCATCAAACATATTAGAGGAATATAACAGTAACAGAAGTACATTTAAACAGGCAATACCTCTAGACTAGCAAAATAAGAGATAAAGGGTTGCCACTTGTGAAAAAATTTGGCTGTGCAACCTCTCAACGTATATTTAATTTTTTCAAGTTTTAAAAAAAACATGACATCTTTAAGCCACCGGGCAATAGTAGGATACTTAACAGACTTCCAATGCAACAATATTAGACGTCTGGCTAATAGGGATGTGAAGGCTATAATATCCTTTTGTGTGGAATCAAGTGTAAGTGAGCGAACAGGAATCCCAAATACAGCAATCAGAGGACAAGGACGAAGAGTTACCCCAAGAACAGTTGACATAATAGCAAAATACCCTGTCCAGAAACCTTGTAGCTCATGATGTGCATATTTAAGTGCTGCCTGCAAAGCCAGATTATATTTTCCTCTAAAATCTGGCCTGTTTTTTCACTGTGCAGTAGCTATAGCTCAGTTACAATGTACTACTTAAAAGTTGAAAAAAAAGGTCTTTACCCTCTGCAAGCAAATACCTACACAAATGAAAAAAAACCCTCAGTATCACGAGCCAAGAATTGATCTTTACTGTAGCTACAGCACTGTTAGAACCCCCTCTCAACTCAGTGATTCATTGGATTATTACCTCCATGCAAAATGAGGGGGATGTGAGCAGTTTGCTTTGTCTGTTTGTTTGTGGGCACAATTATTCAAAAAGTTTTGATTTACATGGAAATCTCATAAGACCCGGGGCTTGGCCCAAGTCAGAAGTGACTTCTGGAGCACATCAGAATGCAGGAATCCAGAAACCATTTGTTGCTTTTCACATCATAACTTTGCAGACAAATACATTTAATAGAGAAAAAAATGGGAAAGACAAGTAAATATCACAGAGGTGACATCCTTTTGGATCCAGAGGCTCAACTGATGTATGCCATGAAGGTTAATTTACTGCCTTGGCAGACGTATGCAATTTTGGATTCCTCTTGTTAAATATTTTCTCTGCATAACTGAATCAATTAAACAAGGAGAAATTGCTCTGTTTGATAGGTCATTTATAATGAGGCACGTTAAACTTAATGACTGCTTTTAATGTCAATATGTTTGATTATAACATGACAGAAACCAGTGCCATTCGCTTAATAATCTTTATGAGCACATATCTGACACAAGTAACAAGATTTGTGAGACTGGAGATTTTCTGGGTTTCAGCAGTAGTCTGTTTGTGGTCCGACTTCTACTGACAAGTACTGTATGAACACACCAAGAAGTCTCGACTGAAAGCCCCAAAATACTGACCGTTGCCCCCCAGATGATAGGAATGGTTAGCAATAGGTTAGTGCTGCCACTTGCTTTATGATATACAGGAACGGAGAGCTTCCTGCTGTTCCTCAGTGATATGAGCTGTGTTGCCTTTGGTCGGCATTTAAAACCATTTGTTTTGTTTATTTTGGATGTGGAGAAATACTGTACTTTACTGGCATTCTCCTGTGTCAGGTTGCATCATTGTTGCTGGCACTGAGATACCCTTTGGGTAGTGTGAGAGGAAGGATAGTGTTTGCTTGTTTGTTTTGGATGTGCGTATGTGCTTGTGTGTTTAGTGAGGGGGAAGTGAAACTGACTGACTGAGCCATCTCAACAAAACCATTTAGATTTGCGTGATACTGTAAGCGCAGAGTGGCTCCACTATCGAAAACACGCATACGCACACATATGTGTTTGCCCCCCGGGCCCCTGTGGCGAGGTGGAGTGCATTAGCCTTCTGTGCCCTGGCAGGAGAGGATGTTGGTGGGGGTCGGGTTGAGGAGGTGGGGGCAGGGAGGTTGCAGTGGTGAGGAAGTGTGCTCAGTACAGTACACGCAATCTGTCAGGTGCTGCTGCCATGATGGAGGCTACTAATGTCATCAAGCCTCACTCTCCCTATCTCTATCTCTCTCCCTCTCTCGCTCTCACACACAGACAAACAACAAAACTCGTCCCAGAGAGTCTTTCGCCCACATGCTCGAAACATGTATCTGCCTTGAAGGTATCCTCGCTCGCACACAAATGCTCACTTACCAAAACAAACACAGCACGCACACAGACAGACGCAACTACCCTTATGTGAGTTCAAAGCTCTCTGAACAGCAAACCACACTCAAATATGGACCAAACATACCTTTCAAATCTCCCATGCCTACCCAGCTTGTCTGAAGAAACTTGTATGTCTAATATTATCACTGCGGTTTTTGTGTGTTTGTGTGTGCTAGTCTCTTTGCTGGCATGATACAATAGTAGTGCCGGTAAAGAAAATGGTCCCTTCACCAGGCTTGTACCATCTGCGTCCAATGATGAGCAGGTGGCAACTGTTTTTCTTTTCTTCTTCTTTTTTTTAAATTTTTTTTTATGTAGGACAGGTAAAAAAAAAAGAAGAAGTAAAAAACAAAAAGCTCAAACAATAAAAATTGTATTTTAAAGAAAATGGCAACAACACTAACAACTGTAGTAAGTATGTTAAACACAGACACACAGAGTGCTGTGGAAAAACTATTTACCTGATTTTGTTGTTTTGTTTTGGGATTTTTTTTAGCTCAAACAAATGGTAAATGGCCTGCATTTGTATAGCACTTTTACTTAGTCCCTAAGGACCCCAAAGCGCTTTACACTACATTCACACACACATTCACACACTGGTGATGGCAAGCTACATTGTAGCCACAGCTGCCCTGGGGCGCACTGACAGAGGTGAGACTGCCGGACACTGGCGCCATCGGGTCCTCTGACCAAACAAATTTCAATATTAGTCAAAGATAACCAGGGTAAACACAAAATGCAGTATTTGAATGATGATTTCAGTTATTAAGGGGAAAAAATCTATTCAAACCTACCTGTCCCTATGTGAAAATTAGCCCCTGTGAACCCTTGTGTCACCCTAGGCAGCAGGAACTTGAATAATATGTTTGCAATACCTGGCAATGAGTCTTTCATACTGCTGTGGAATTTTAGCTCACTCTTCTTTGCAGAATTGTTTTAATTCAGCCACATTGGGAAAGTTTAAGTGTGAACGGCCTGTTTAAGGTCATGCCAAAAAAAATCTCAACTTGATTTGAGTCAACGACCTTGATTAGATCACTTTTTGAACCATTCAAAAAGTGGACTTGAGGTGGACTTGCTGCTGTCTTTTTTACGTGCTCTTGAGCTTCAGGACACGAACTGATGGGTGGAAATACTCCTTCAGGACTTCCTGGCAGAGAGCAGAATTCATGGTTCCATAAAGGGCTAAGCCTAACCCCTAACCCTAACCCTTATGGAAAACCATCAAAGTCCCGAAGCAGCAAAGCAGCCCCAGAACATCCCAGACCATCGCACTACCACCACCATGCTTGACTGCTGGTATGATGTACTTTTTATGAAATGCTGTGTTAGCTTTAGACCAGATCTAACGGGACTCGAACATTCCAAAAAGTTCAGCTGTTGTCTCGTCAGGCTACAGAATATTTTCCCAAAAGTCTTGGGGAACGTCAAGATGTTTTTTGGCAAATATGAGATGAGGCCTTTGTGTTCTTTTGGTCAGCATTGTCAAATTGAACTCTCCCATGGATGCCATTTTTGCCCATTATCTTTCCTATTGTTAAATCATGAACTCTGACCCTAACTGAGACAAGTGAAGCCAGCAGTTATTTAGATAAGGTTCTCGGCTCTTTTGTGACCTCCTCATTGAGTCGTTGATGTGCCCTTGGAGTAATTTCGGTAGAACAGGCACTCCTCGGAAGGTTCACCACTACTGCTTTGTAAAGCTTTCCCCGCTGACTGTGTTTCTCGGCTGTTTCTTTTGATAGTGCCATAATGTGTTGCTCTCTGAGAGCTTTAATCTTACTTCACGCTTTGTCAGACAGGTTCTAGTTAAGTCATTTCTTGACCCTAGAGGTTTAGTGAAGTTGAACTCAGCTTTTTTTTTAAACATGTGGTTATGGTAATTACAGTTACTTCATGATTTAACAGTTGGGTCAATTACTTTTGCACACATGTACATTTAGATAACCTTTTCCATTTAATAACTAAATTAATAGTTTGTATTTACTCGGGTTATCTTAGACCAATAATAAAATTAGTTTGGTGATCTTAAACATTTAATTCTAAAAAATGTGCAAAAACAAAAAAACTTGAAGCAGTAGTTTTTACGTCATATGTACATATGTTGAATAGTTTTACACTCTCTTCTTCTACTAGCAGAAGCCTTGTAGATATCTGTGAGCATGTATGTGGGATTGTATACCTGGTGATTACTTTAACAGGCCCCTGATGGCAGTATGACTGGTAGTGTACTAACATAAACAACTGATCAAATCCTTTATGAAAGATTTATAAACACCTGTTTATATTCATAAGCAGGTGTCTGGCTAACCGATGAACTGATAAACATAAAGATTGCCTCATGGTAGGGGTTAGATTAGTGGAGGTGCAATGCTGCGGTTCTGCCCATCACCTCTGTATCTACATCGTGATGAACCCTAAAGAGGAAACAGTTTCTAACGTTTGACTTTAGTTTTGTGGTTTTCACAAATGTTTGAGGCTTGGTTCAATACTACACCCCCTTTAGAATACATTTGTAGAACTTCTAACTGAGAACACTTGTTTAAAATCAGAGAGTTCACATCTTGCAGATTTTTGTCATCATTTAAATGAAAATGTGAAACAGTTCTTTAGCTGCTGACTTTCAACCACAATTTTTTTTTTTTCACTGTCATTAATAATATTATTGCCTTTCAAGAAAAATTGTTCCAAATAACTGAAATGCTTTTATGTGGAAAAACATTTCGGTTTGTAAAACATGTGCGTATTGAAATAAAACATTTTTTTCAAGTTGTCCTGAGGCTACAATGACATGTCAATAAAATGACATCCAACAACAGAAAATAAGGGCACTAAAACAACTTGAACGGCACAAATAATTTCGATTTTTAATCAAGTTATATGCAAACACACAATGTTATCTGCACGTCTGCTTGTCAGCATGAATCCCTGCAGACCCGGTGAATAAGTATGCAGTGATGAAAGCTTATTTTGTGCTGCCTTAGACCTATGAGACAATGTTATTCCCAGCCGTGTACACTGAAGAGGATTTCTTTTTTAGACTTTCCACAGCTAGACTCTGATTATCTTGGTGGAGTTGCGTCGCCCTCTACAGATCTTAAGGGAACTACAGCAGCAGCGTTAGCACAAAGCAGCTACAGATTAATGAAACAGAGCAGCAGATTGTAGTTAGGCATTCTGTGTGGCACTGCTAAGTATGAGTGCTAAATAAATAAATGAAAAGCAATCTCTGGTTCACACTGAATACTGATTGATGTAGTTCTGAATGATGTTTGAAAGCCTTCACAATTGTGCTTGATGCCAAACCCAAACACACTGCTCCAGAGAGGAAAAAGAGGCCCGTGCTGCACTTTTTACTACCATACACAGTATTTGGCAAAGTCTCTGCCCTTGTGGAGGTGCTTTCGATAGACTGAGAGGGAGTTTTGATCTGAGAGGGAGTTTTGATCAGTTTCTAATTGCTCGGCATAAAAGGATGAATGGACCATTTCCTCCTCCTCGGTTAAATTATTAGCGAGATCAAAGACGACACTAATTGATATGACGCACAGTGAACCCAGTGAGCACAGCCTCAGGTCAGCGAGACACCTACTCCACCCACAGGAATGTCTGTGCGTGTGTGTGTGTGTTTGTGTGTGCGTGTGTACATACTCACCTCTCCTATCTGAATGTGTGTTTCATCCACATACAACGAGTACGACTGAATGATCTCCTTCATGTGGAGAATGTGGTTTTCTTCGATGTCTTGGAATTTCTGTAAGACAGGGTTATGATATTAATGGCACAGCGATGTCACTTTAAGAAGGCTTCACCTGGTTAAGAATTAGTATTTGGGGGGATAACTATGTATATACAATTATGTGGTCAGCATACATTAAAGGAAATAGGTTCGTGCTACGTCATTTAACAAAAATCTATGGACATTTAGTTCTTTCTAACCAGCTGATGAACCAAAAAATATTTTTTTTGTCACTTACAGGAATCTATTTGTGCAATCTGTCTCTATGCAGTAAAAAAAAAAAAAAAAAAAAAAAAAAAAAAAAAGCTTCATTGAAAACAAATTCATTGCATGCCAAAAAATCTGTATAAAAAAACTTACAAGTCAAAGGCCAAATGTGAGACTTTGCTTCTGTATTTGGTTCCTGTAACTTTCTTTGTGTGTGTGTGTGTGTGTGTGTCTGGGTGGTCTCTGGCTCAGGAGCACATATAGCTCCTCCCACCAAGACTCAATTCTCTACGTGACATATAGTGATGAGGATTCATTTCAAGTATGGTGTGGACCACAAACTTAAATGCTGGTACTTACCATTTGTGTGTGACTCGGGGCTTTGAGGGTAAACCAAGGAGAATGAGTATAAATAATCATAAACTGGAAAATCGCAGGGGGACCGGGGGGATTGAGCCTTTCTGACCACGAAAACACCGGATAAAGAGCATCCGGCCTCTGCATCTACACTTCAGAGACTTGCATGCAAAATAAAACTGCGCTTTTGTCTTCTGCCATGATGACAGCTCGCACAGGCTCACACACAGACAGTCAAAGGGAACACACATGTCGGCGACACGGTGATGTCAGAGAGCACATGTGTTCAGTGTTTATAATACACGTCTACATGTGTTGCGCTGGAGATGAGCCGTAGACTGTAATTCGGGGGAAGCGGCAATGCTGCCTTCTATAGGGGAAAACAAAACCACTGGGCTAACTGGAACCAGCTCTGGTGGCAGCGCTGCTGCGGTTCAGGAGGATACTGAGACCAAATTCTGTTGATCTGATTTTAATTTGGAGTTTATCTAATCAGCGCTTCAGATGGATTCAATTACACAATGATTCCATTAAGGGGGAAAAAACACAATCTGGAGATGATACAGGGCTCAAAACGTGGAACAGACACACACATGTGCGCGCACACACAGGACTAACAGATTTACCAACAAAAGTGTTGCATACCACAGAGATACACAAAAAACAGAGTTTGTGAGCATGCATTTGATTAAAGCACATGCACAAAGAAGGAAAGAGAACCAGCTAATAAATACCTGTGCAGTTTCTGTCATCTTCTGTTCAAACTCAGACTTAGCTGTTGCATATTTCTCCACGTATGATTTGTAGGTCTCTGTGGCTTTTTTGGCTTTCACTCCAGCCTGGAGAGCATAAGCAAACAGATAAATGACTATCAAGTGTTTGTATATTGGAGACAATGACTGTCAGTCTTTCAGGCTCCTCTGACAAAAAATGGCAAGAAAACCGATCTCCACTTAACATCTGAAGCCTTTGGGGTCGAACTTTCAGTATAGACTCCTCTATTAAAGCACTTCATCATGCCTTATTACCAGACCATGATTATGTGGGAGTGTGTACGTGCGAGTGTGGCCTCCCACCTTGTCTACATCTCTCTGGGTGGCCCCCTCCTTGCGGAGGCGTTCCTGCTCCACAATTTTGGCATTATAGTTCTCCTTGGACTTCTGCAGAGCCTGGAAGATGCTCTGGATGTTCTGAACGGCCTCAAGGGTAGACGCCACCTCTTCTTTTGTCTGAAAACACACATGTCGTATAGGGTAAGCCTAATAACAACACGCCTTGTTTAAGATGCGAGTTTGAATGTGTCTGAATGTGTCTGTGCAAACTGGCTGCATGTGCCTTTGGCACAGTATAGCAACTAGCAATTAATAAACTCAAAGCATCTGATCCATTCTTAAAGCCTTTCGTCATTCACATGGATATAAAAAGAGGTCTTTAATGGAGGGTAAATGCTTATGAACACTAAAACCACATAAAAAACCTTGCTTGATCATCTGTTTTACTAATTAGCATCATCCCTAAACCCTCGTATGTACTCATTATGACATCATTATGTTGTAATGCGCACATCACTGGATATAAAAGAAAAAAATGTAAAGTATTTTATCATATTATGTTATGAACACATTTATCTAAATACAGTCTTATATTGTTTTAGCAAGAGAGCCAAGAAACATAAACAGCTGAGAGGAGCAGGGAGTTGTGGGGAAGTGATCAAGGGAAACTGTGACAGCCTTTTTGTCATGCTCTAAGCACAAACACAACTCCCCTAATGCCGAGCTCCTATTTTACATTGTGCTCCGTGGCTTCATGCATCAAATATGAGTTCATCCTGCGTCTCAACAAAACGAGGAGGCAGAGTGAGGTGTAAAGAAATGCCTCGCAGAACGACACCACAAGCACATCACCGTGGTTTTGTCAAGATGGAATCCACCAAAACTTTATCCCCTCTCTTGTACATGGCTTACTTTCAGCTTCTTTGACTGAGGACAATCACTAGAGTGTGAAACAATTTGTAATGGTGGAAGGTTAGAATGGGTTTAAATTTAAATAGTTAATTTTGTTCAGTGAAGACGAGTTTGTGTCAAAAGTGGAGCAGAAAACCACTGTAATCTAACTGAAAGAAAAACACATTGGTGCAATGCTAGTATCAAACCTCAATTAGTATTTACAGGAATGTAAGTATCAAAAATGCATGGTTCAAAATGTTCTCTTACTGTGCATTCATGCGGTGTCAGAGTAATAGGAAAATTTGCTTAGAACAACTTGGAAAGTTTGAGAATATTTTGATGCAAGAGTTGGCTGAATGTGACACAAAAACACAGAAAACATGCCACATAAAAGTAATCATTGGGTTGATGCTAAGAAACTTTAGCTAACAGTTCACTGTAACTGCTTAATGTGTGTCACTTTCAGCTATCTTTAGTTAATGAATTAGTTAATATCACATCAGGTTCCACTCTCTATTTGCTGTCTGTACAGAGTTGTGTAGATTAATCAGAAAGTGAAAAGTTGTTATTATTATAAGGAATTCTGACAACACGGGATCTGAAGCAATACTGGAAACAGCTATAAAGGTTTTCTACAAGTGATCTGAGAAAGAAAAACACGTTTTTTGTACTTTACACTTTAAAAGCACACAAATAGAAAATCAGAAGACTGACTTCATCATATTGCACTGTATCAGTATTTGGTGTTCACAGTTTCTCCAACACCAAATGTCCTTACCTTTTTGTGTGCTTTGGACTGCTCTTCCACATATTTCTGAACCTCTTTTATAAGTTCCTGTAGTTTCCTCACAAGTTCCATGTGACAACTGGCCAGCTTCTCTGTTGAACCTTTAAACACGTCCCACATCGGAGCAAATGTCCTGTGATAAAGAAAAGAATATTTACATATTTAAATTCATATGAATTCATTCAAGCATCTTCTTTAGAAAGTCATATGCATCGAGGTTATTATATTTAACCAAAAAAATTAAAAAGTAAACTAATTGAAAAGATTTTTTAAAATTGTAAAACTAAATAAAATAAAATAATCTAGAAAATATCCTACATATGGTTTTGAGAATGGATCATTTGGTAACATTTATTTTTACAAACTACCTGATGAGGCTTTGATGGA